ATTACCAAACTGTATTTATATTTTATATTAAAAATTAAAACATAATAATATTATTTTACTAATTATTGTTTATTAAAATATAGAGTTAATATAGGATCCTAATTAAAATCAACTAAAAAAAATRATGGGAAATAAGTAATGAAATGTGTATTAATATGTTGTGTTATGTTAATGTTACAGTTATTTAAAATATTTGGCACGTATATTAATAATAATAATTTATTTTGGAGTACTAGGATCATCATCAATTTGACTTAATTCTGGAGATCCTGTAYTATCAACTGGTTTTTTAGAAGGAGTTCTAACTGTTGGGGATTCTTGCTTCTTTTGCAAAAGTGCATTGAAAAAGCTAGCCAAGGCTCTTTCACTACTAGGAGGAGGATTATCTGAAATGCGTTTATTTGCTGATAATGGTTTTGTAAGTTCTATGGATTTCCTGACAACGGGTGTCTGTGGTTGAGTTACATTTTGGTTTAACAGCACAAGTTGTCGGGCCAGAAATGCTTGTTCCTCTTCATCTTGGAGTTCATGTTCTTTGTGTGGTTTTTCATATGGATATGGTATAGCATCACTATAATGCGATTCAGGATTGATTTTTTGCATATTTTCATAAAGCACCTCAATTTTTTTCAAACTATCCCAGCCCGAAGGAACAAACACAGAATCCTTTTCTACGATTAATGCTGGTGTTTTAAATGGAAAACGATAAATTCTGAAAAAATAAATAACTTAAAATGTAAATAAAACATAAAAACATAAGCTGTGAATACACATTGTTTATTTTTATTTTACTTGACTAATAAATAAATTAATAATCACAAATTAATTAACATTTATTTTACTTGTTTTTGTATTAAAAAATAAGGTAATAAATTAMGGATGAAAAACAATCATAAGTTAATCAATCTCATACCAATTCAACAGGTGTTATATTTTGATAWGTAAATCATATATACTTAAAAATCAGGACTTTCAATTTATAAAATTAATTAAATAAAAGAGAAAAATATTTATAATAGGGCTATTATTACTTTCGCGACTTGGCTTTTATAAATAAATTAATGTTATATAATATTATATTTTACCTATGCATTAAATATTTATAAAGAAGATCACAGTTTTTATCTTCCATTACAGATACATAGAACAATGCAGCTCCAAATTGTAAACAAAATTTTCGCAAACAACATTGAATGTAATCGAAATGTTCTTCTGAATAGTTATCGATTTCTAAGTTTTTGATGCAATCAGTCATAGTTATAACAACAATTATATCCAATCCAAGATTTTTTGTTAGAACTCCATCATTGAGAAGTCGAACTTTTGTGCTGGATTCATATGACGGATCTAATCATTTAAAAAATACTTGAATACRAATMAAATTTTAATWATATACAATATTTACCATCAAGCAGTGTGTAATCAATGATTCTATCAACACATTTATCTCTGAGATTTTGTGTTTTCTCCATGCTTAAATTTAAACTATCTATATGATCTTGAAGTCTTGCTGACCAGAATTCTAAAGATTCCATAATTTTCCACGGATGCTTTAATGACGCAACCAAAACAATTGTTGTGTCCTCAAAATGTTGTTCATTTAATGCAAACTTCATTAAATATTTTAGAGAACGATCGCCATCTAATGTCCAAACATTTAATTGGGCGTTTTCATCTGTACTGTCATCGCGGACCTAGCAATTCAAATATAATAGAAGCAAATAAATCTGAAATGTAGAAAATAAAACCGTCTTACCTGTATGTATCCATACTCCATACCCCATCCTTGTTTTGAATCTTTTAGACCTTGCAACTTAGTGACTAATGTTGTTTTGCCTGATTTGCTATCACCCAGTAACAACACATTTTTGTTTTCTGGCAATTTTTTTCGACTCTTATTTTGTACATCCAATAGAAGATTATTCCAATGATTTGCATCATTTTCTTCAACTTGAGTGCTAGATTCTTTAATCAATACAATAAGTATAATATTATGTTAAATTTATTTTGTAAACTATCGTTATGCTGCCAAAATTATGAAACTTACCCATATTATATTTGAATGGAATGTGAATACCTAATAATCACCTTACGTAACGTCTAAACTACTCTCAACTGTCTAAACCATTAGGGCCTTAACTAGAATTATAAACAAAGATATGAGAACTGTCGAGAACTGGATAACACATTTAACACAACCTCAATAATTATAACTTTTTAGTTGTTTTTTTTATCTTAGTGTCGTATCATTAAAAGTCAACGCACAGAATATAAATCCAAGTGATATATTGTGACGTTACGTCTAAACAGTAAATTTATCTCCATAGACGTCCTATGGTTATCCCTGAATAAAGATTCCCGTATATATTTTGTATATTTGTATATTTGCCACTTATCAATTCTGATAAGATAAGCAACCACAATAATGCATACTCTATTGCCTATACATATCTTAAAAGGGTTTTAATAAACATATTATTATGTATTTTTCATATAATATACATAATTCAAAATTCAATACGGATATTAATTAATAACAATAACAATTATCATAGGCGTAGAATGGTGGGGGCTAAGGGGGCTATAGCCCCCCCAGAATTCTACTAAGCCCCCCCAGAAATTTTTGTGTAATAGTTTACTGTCTTATACGTGGGAACTTAAAACATTTTCTATTATTTATTTTGATATCCGAAGAATATTTAATATAATAATTCAAATTTTAAATTATTCATTAATTTATACATTACAATATCATATCGACATTCGACATCAATAACAATAATAATATTTTGTTATATACCTAGATCTATCTTCTATATTATAAATTAATTAATTATAATCATCAGAAGACTATAATGACGTTATCGCCGTTCATCGAAATTTTAAACCTTATAATATAGTAATTAGTAATAATTTCCTATTTAAAATGTTTTTTTTTTAAATATTTAATTCA